TTGCCGAGTGAACCGGGCCTTAGCTGTAGCTTTGAAGGGAGTTACTCTGAATCAACATGGTGGTCTGGTTCTTGTTTTGGTTGTTCATATTCATGCCATCATGTCCAGAGATGAGTCATAAAACATGTTGAAACCAAACAAAGCATGTCTACAAACACTGTGGTTTATCTATGCTCAACCATAAACTGTGTTGACAGAATTTTGATCAGACATTGTTGAATTCTTCATTCTTCAATGTGGCGGCCATATTGAATTTGGTTGACTCCAATAGAAACTCGGTTGTAGTTGTACCTGTTATGGTTTTTCTCTGACAGTTTCATTAAAACAGTGTTTAGTGGTTCATGAGATATTTTGCCAACAATACAGACTGCTCTTTTGCCAGTAAGTGATAATAAAATAAAAACCTATTTGCATAACTTTAGAGCATGTTGTTCCTAAAGACGTTTGGCAATATGATGAGACTTTTCATTCCTTTAAATCATAATTTCATACGAAAAATAGATTATGAGGAAATTAGTCTGTGCTTCATTTTGCCATTTTGGTGTCGTATTCAGATTTTAGACTGCAGGGTTTAGATTAAAGTAGTGATACCAACGGTATCAAATAGTCAACAAGTGACATAGGAGGCTGGGAGCAGGGGAGGCAAAATGTTCACGGACCAGCAGATGTTTCAGCTTTTGGGTTTTTGGCTACAAAAGAGCAATTAAGGGCTACTCTTAATGAGGCTGGCAGCCGCCCCATAAACTGTCTGGTTCAGTGAAAGAGTTGCTCATTAGGCAAAACGTCTCCGCAACCCCCCACCAACACCACCCTTCTATTGCTGCTACCTAGCATGGAACAGGAAGTTATGGATCAGAAATGTGAAGGAAAACACTGTATGCCAGCTTAAAACAGAGTTTCTTTATATTGTGTCAGGCTTTGCTCACTCTGAGTCTCATGTGCGTGCTCCAGTGTGTGTCCTCGTATGTCGACATGTTTGTTGTGCGCCAGGCCAAGACTGGAAATGATGCACATTTTCCATGAGGCAGCTAACTGTGCACCTCGAGCACAAAAAGCCAGAACAGTCAACAGAACATTACCGAAGAGGATGGCGAAATTAAAATACCAAAAAAACCAAAATGGAGGCCAGATCCTGTTTTCCCATCAGTCGTTTCTGTGCACTATAAACGTCTAATTTAGCTAATAAAGAGCAAAGACCAGAAAAAACAAGAGAGACTTTGAAGAGCTGCCTTACAGGCACAGATTGGTTAGTCAGCCTTATGTTTCCAAATCAGGACTCTGCTGATTCCAAGAATTCAGTCAATTACCTCGAAACTACACACAGTGCTTTGCCCTTACAAGTCACTTCCTTGTAAACATCAACCTAGGAGAACCTGAGTAAATACAAAATACAGTTTTTAAATAATTATTCAGTTTATTAAGGTAAAAAAAAAAGCTACCGAGCACTGATAGTATTGAGATAAGCCAGTTGAGGTGGCTCGGACATCTGATTAGGATGCCTCCTGGAAGCCTCCCTGGTGAGGTTTTCTGGGCACGTCCAACCTGGAGGAGACCCAAAGGAAGACCCAGGACATGCTGGAGGGACTATGTTTCGCGGCTTGCTAGAGAACGCTTTGGGATTTCCCTGGAGGAGCTAGCCTAGGTGGCTGGGCAGAGGGAAGACTAGGCCTCTCTACTTAGGGGCTCGACACACGGGAGGTGAAAAACGACCGCGATCAGCGAAATTTGTCGCTTTCGCTTTTATTACCTGACACACGGGAGGCGATCCGCGGCAGCGGCCAGCGGCAAAACCGTCTATGCGTTCTGTTCCATGGCGAAATCGAAACTTCCGTTGTTTTGTTTGGCTGTGTCAGGTTGGAGGGAATTAAGGTTATTTAAGCGGTTCAGAGTTAAAAAAGTGGTGGATATGATGTTTCACAAGGTGCTGTTAGAGTTATGTGAAATCGTACTTGTGATTTTACTATATAAAACATAATAATAATCAACTTCTCCTTCATGTTTGCTCGGAGGTGTACGGAGCATCCTGTCCGCTCATTGGTCAGTGAATGAAACCTCCGTTGATTGGTCCTCGTCCGAGCGACAGCAATGAAAAGTTGAAAATGTTTCAACTTTCTGGGATCGCGTCGCTGGGTCGCCTATGCACGACACGTGCACGAGCGCAAAATTTCACATGCACATTTTTTGCGTTTCGCTTAGTAGGAGGGAGACCCGCGATTATCGCTTTGTTGCGCACGTCTCATTGAAAATGAATGGAGGAGAGGCGATGTCGCTTCCCGTGTGTCGAGCCCATTAGGCTGCAGCCCCAGTGACCCGACTCTGGATAAGTTAACAAGCATGGATGGAAGTTGGCCAACATTTAACCTGACAAAAATACTTTCAACACCTCTGTAAATAAAGTACATAGAACTCTATTTTACTCCATTTCCTGAGGATTTGGTTTGGAAGTAAAATAATTGTGTAGTTTCTCCTCCACCAGGAAGGAATACTCCATTCTCCTGCTATGTGGCGGTGCCTGTCCCCAGACCTGTCTGGCACCAGGAGGACCTGGCACAACGCTCCCTATTGAGCCTTCCACAAGAACTATGTCATTTGTAAATCTCCCACTGGACACATGAAGAGGAAAGAAAACAAACGTGGAGATGAACAGAGCTCGACAGGAGGTGGACAAGCTTCCTGTGAGGGCCACAAAGGGATGCTGAGAGCAAGGTTAAGATAATGCAAAGCTGTGATAGGTGATAGTGTAATGCCACTCCTGGTGCTATAGCCATAGCCGAGGACGCCGTCTTCCTCCTGACATCTGAGTCTTCCTTTCATTGTTCTGTATTTTTGCATGTGACACGGGTGTCCAACGTTTCCTCCTGCTGAGCTCCAAAATATTTATCCTGTCCTGTAAATCATGCAGGGATTTTTTTTTAATTGCTTTCATGATGCAATGCAAACAGGCCCTGGCTGATGTCTGATAGCAATTACAGTTAGGAGGAATTGATGCACAAAGTTGCAACACATCGTTCACATGAGTGTGAAGCCTATGACAAGTCTGCAGGCCGAGGCAGCACACATGTTGTTGTCATCACAGCTGAGACGAGGCTTTTGGAAATATCTGCTGGAAACCAGGCATGCAGGAAGTGAGAAGAAAAACGCTCAGAAGAGAGGCGGGAAATCAGGTGACTTGAGTTTAATTGCTTCTCCCCCCTCATATTGTTACAGCAGAAACAGAATCATTAGGGCCAAGCACAACTGAAAAAAGAGCCCTGCATCTGAATGAGCCATATTTCCTTCAGTGAAAACACTAAAGTTCTCAGTCAACAAGTCCGCTGAGTTTTGGAATCGATCCCCGCCCCCACATCCTTCCTTCCCCGTGAAACTGAAGCGTATGTCTGCCAGATGTCCGAAGCAAAGAAAGAGGGGATATGAAAGAGCTGAGGACTTCCAGAGGTGTCTTATATCGGGGGAATTATTATCCTAATGATATAATGTAACACATGCCGTCAGTGCCTCCAGGGGGAACAACTCCCCTCTCGTATCAGAGCCCCCGTCTTGTTCACTGAAATGACTTTTTAGAATAGCCGCTCACATAAAAAACTACAAGTTTTCATTTTTCCATCAGACTCGCGTAGTTTTAATCTCCATGAGGACGTCACATTTGTATCTTTTATTTGCTTATGCAAAGCAGATTTCTAAATAACGCTTACAGAAACTCTCTATTAGAAGCAAGTGTTTACTTCATGACCTCATGACAAAAATATAAAAATATCTTTTTTGTTTATTTGTTGTTGTTTTTTTTACAACCACATAGGTAAATTTGATCATGTGAGTTGTAGGTATACCATGTAGCTCACACAGGCCGCGCTATATGGATATCTAGCTCTAAGCCCCTGGAGTGTTTCAGTGAATAGATGAGGAGGGTAGACAGTACCTGACATTTACTCAGTACTGCAGGATAGGCATGCCATTGTCTTTGATGAAACGAGAAACTCAGCCACAGAAGGGCGAACGAGAGAGAAAAGAGGCGGCGTAAGACAACCTGATATCAATCTAATGAAATAATAGCAACTGCTCTGAAGTGGATATCTGGGATATCTAGACTTTTTACCCCTATTGTAAGACTTCTTGACCTGCACAGATGTAAAGACAGATGAACTCTGATAAACTCTCCCTGCTTCCTACAGAGCCTTACAGTTACCCGCTTATGAGGTTGCTGTTGTATTTTGACTAATAGAGACATAAACAACCGCAGAGAGACAATGGGCAGAGCCAGACGAGCCGCGCATATGGCCAACAGAAACAAACATGTATGGTAAAGTCCAAGCCGAGGAGCACGGGTTTTCCTCTGATCTGGTTTAGTTTCCTGTGTGTTTGTGCGCTCGGCCAGACCAGCGAGCGTCCACAAAAGCAGCACAAACCACTCAGCATCCAGAGGAAAAGAGGAAAGGAAAGAAGAAGTCAAGAGCTGGTGAAAGGAAGTGAGACTGAGGCCAGTGAAACATCTGCTCAAGATCCTTTTTAGTGCAGTCCTCCTCTTCTAGCAGAGCATTTTGTTTGTCCATGAGTCAGGAACGCAAGCCAGCCCCCATCACACACACACACACTCATGGATGTGTGCACATGGAGGGAGAAGTTAATAAGTCAATAGGACACGGCTCCATAGCTTATTGGGCCTTGTTTTAGCGGAGAGTCCGGGAGAATAATAAACAGGACCGACACAAATCAGTGTTATCTTTTCACTCATGAGGGTGAAAGAAGCGAGCCAAAGAGCCAAAAAGAACAAAAAGGAACAAAGGAACAAAAAGGAAGAGAAAAAAGGAGGGAACAGGAGAAAGAAAAGCCCCCTTCTGACTCACACTGACCCACATACATTTGCTCTGCCTTTCTGAGGCTCGCTCTCTCTTGGCAACCAGCAGCCTCTGTGAAAGAATCCCAGCGTTCAGCCAAAGGCAAAGCCCATGTGCAGGGGGTGGGGGGGGTGGGGGTGGGGGGTGGGGGGGAGAGGCTGGCAGAGACAGAGAAACAGAGGGAGATGTGGATGGTTGGACGCTAGACTCCTCCTTTTCCTCCTCCCCCTCATGAGGGCCTGTTGCTCCCGGCAACCAGCACTCAATGGATTCCTCCATATCCAAGAGGCTGAGCACGCACACACTTTAGCAGAAAAGTAGAAATACAAACTTGTTGACTGTTAAACTGCATCTAAGGACTTGGCCATAACTAGCAAAATGTAAGGTAAACACGGTGCTATGAGAAATATTTGCCCCTGTACAGATGTTTTCTGTTTTTGCTTTTTTAATCAGACTTGAAGCTACCATGGCAAATTTGGAAAACAAGTTAGCTTAAAACATTTTTTCATGCCTCTTAACAGCGTTCTAACATAGCACAGCTATAAATTTATTGTGGAGATTTAAAAAAAATTAAATAAGTGATAAAGTGGTTCTCTCATTTGTTGAAAATCCTTCACCAGTAACACGGTTCTGACCAAGAGCAACCACTTACCTGAGGCCTCCATTCATTACGCAGTTTCGTATTTAGTAACAGAACACCACTGGTGTGAGATGTTAGCCACTCAGTAATATCAGAGGAGAAACAGCCGGCTGCTACCTTAAAACTAACTACCAGAGTTACCAGAGTCATGCACATCAAAAATGTTTGGTTTAGAAAATAGTGACTGGTGTATAGCACTCTCTCGTTTTCTCTGGCAATGTGGATTTCTAGTCCCGGTGGATGCTGAACACGTGCAGATGTCTGAGGGGAGGGGTGTTCCATGACTGTTTGCATTCAAAACCTAGCTTGATTGCAGATTTGCTATAGCAGCTTTACAAGTTTCAGATCAGTAGACATGTTTTATTATCAGACAAAGATAACCTGAGTAAATACAAAATGTAGTTTTCATATAAGGATTTCATTTATTTAGGCAGAAGAATATTCAAACCAGCCTAGGCTTTTTTGGAAAATGAATGAAGCCCAGAACTTAAAAATCAAGTTCACTTGTTTTTGAATATATTTGCAGTGGTTTCTAATATTAATTAATGTTCTTGTGAGTAGATCTCTGTGGCAAAAAAAGCTCTGGTAATCCTGTTTCAGGATCTAGAAATGAGCCAGATCAGAGTTCAGCACAGCAGAATTTGTTTCCTGATATTTGGACATCTCGCCTCGGATTGGCTAACAGCAATACGACTCTACCATTGACTCAGTTTGTTTTGCAACGTTGATGTTTAATCTCCACAAATAACACAAATCTGGAGGAGTTCTGCCATACTGAGGGATTGCTAATGCTAACAGTTAGCCTCTACTTGCCGAGACAGGCTCTCCCGGACGCTAAATCAACAACAGAGTTCCCCGTCATGAGCCAAAATGGGTAAGTCCATGAATGTTAATTTTCAGTGTGACGCAGATCTGACAGCTTTTCTAATCACAATGTTTCCCTGTCTCTTTTCAATCTGCAGCTAACGCAAGAAATGGAGGTAGAAGACCATTTTCACGCTAAGCCTGCATGTGAAACTCAAAGTGGCTGATCGATCTCAAAATAATAAGTCAAAGTTTATCAGTGAACTTGGCCTTTAATAACTGGTAACTACAGTCAGTAGTGTCCCACTCTTCTGTACAGAATAATTTTACATAAATTCAGCCACACTTGAGGATTTTCTACTATATTTATGGAGAAGTTAGATTTACAATGAAGCAAATCTGATCATTTTATGTGTCTTTATCATCTGTTATGTTGATGGAAAGGTGGAAATTCAGTACATGTTTCAGCGCTCACAGAGATGAAGCAGTTTCGTGCAAATTCCACCCAACAAAATCTGTATTTTCACCTTTAATTTATTGAAAGACTCTAAAAAGAGACAAAAGGGAATTATTCTGGTACACGGCTTCAGAGCAGCAGCTGCGTTCGGAGGACAAACTAAAAAGAGAGGAGCCCAAGGTTTTAATAGGGGGTTTGATTGGGGTGTCCAGACTTGTAGCCTAATGATGGATGAATGCAGGGCCTTAAGCTCCAGTGACATAATCAGAGAGCTGTAGGTCAGCGAGTGACAGCTGAGTGGCTGTAGTCGAACGGGAGAAAGGGCCCTTTCAGCTCCAACGTTCACGGACGCTGATCCAAGTTCATTAGCAGTCCGGCCGGCTACAGGGCCTGCTGCAAGCTTCTCTAAGCAACACATGACACACACATACAGATGCATAAGCAAAGCCCGAACATCACACAACAGGCAGCTTTTTCTTCTTCTTTAAGCAAATCCGTTTTTATTCCTAATGATCCAAGGCTGGGATTTTACGCCCCTCTCCTCGTCTTTTAAAGACGCTGGCAACATGTTTTATCTATAAAAAATAAAAGGTTTTGGCCTTAAACATTTTTCTCTGGTTTGGCGTTTTCACTAGTAATCATCTATACACTCTCCCTTCTTTTCCTGCCATTAAGCAACGACGGAGCCAAACCCACAGCCCAGCCAAAGAACCTGATAGTCGTGGAACCGATGCAGCACCCCCCCACCCCCCCCGCCTTGGAATGCATTCTGCTGCGCTGCACTTTTCACCATCCATCAGGGTATGGATGAAGCCCCCCTTCCTGAAAAAAACCCCACCCACGTCCACCCACTCAGGCACAATCACACCACTTACTTTTTAAGCAATTGCCTGAAAGACCTCTTGGGGCCAGTTCTAGCTGACTGACAGTTGTGGAAAACATCTGTTTACCTTCATCTTAAAACCATCAAGACTAAAACAAATTCAATTCCTGGACTTTGATTTTTTTTTTTGTCCTCTTCGATCATCATAACAATAATAACCCCACCAAAATCAGGGCAGGCCAAGTCCATTCCTAATTCTGCTCATTTTAAGGATCCCTACTCGACACCAAGCGTTGTTTACTTGGAATATCAGGGTTTAATAGCACGTTTCACTTTAACAGGCTCGCACAAAAAACCCACAAAGAGCCACAAACACTCACACCCTGCTTCTCATAAATGACCACAACTGAACACAGACAAATTCCACCCCCAGTGCTCTTTTCAGCCCCTCTAACCACAGCAACAATCCAGGAGAAAATTGGCGACTTTGACCAAACATTCCTGTTTTTTCTCCTTCACTTTTCGGGACGTGAGCTTGTGTTTCAAAGTCCACAATCTACAGACACACACACCAGCTCCCACCTCACACACCCTCTGATTTGAGTCATCACTCCCACGCTCATTTCCTCCATAACGCCCCCGAATCATGCCGAACTGATACGTCTGATGAGTGGGCCTGAAGCATGTTTAGTACATTGGTGTGCAGAGGAAGTATTTTCAGCTGTCCAACCTGTCTTTGCTTTCTGAACAGTGAAGAAAAGTGACACGCATCCCACCATGGAAGGCCTCTAGTTCCTGTGGGAATTATTACATTGCCCCCTGGTGGCCATGGCATACTCACAACCCTCTAAATAACACCACCTAACATTTTCCCACATAAACAGCACACTAGTTCTCTGTGATGACTCAAGTTAAACGCCACATTCATTATGTAATCGATTACTTTAACCTGTGCCATAATGAAGTCAGTTAATAAACAAGGAGCTGCTCTCCACGCCCTGTCGGGGGATGCTCTGCATGTGTTCCGTGCTACACGGAGGATGGCAGTTTTATAAAGGTATCACCCTGGTGATGACCCAATTATTGACCATAAAAAAAGACACCTGAGACTTTCCTCCACCCTGGGATCACTATTGTGCAGAGGGTGTGAGTGCAAAATGTAAGACTCGCTTACATGTGGCAAAATGTTGGATTTACTGTTAATCCTCAAGGCAAGGACTGAATGAAACTATGCAAGGATCAACGTAATTATGCCAAAATTAGCTCACTTAAAAACAAAACAAAATGTAGCGTCTTACTCCTGTAAATAAATGCAGTTTTAAGAGTTCAGTGTAAACGAAGCACCAATATTGAGACAAATGATTTAATTTAAACCTCTTAAAAGAGTTTTCAGCTCTTTTTTAAGGATAGTTTGGTCAAGAGGTTATGAACTATTAATATCTTACTCCAGCTCAGTTTGGACAAATGGAGATTAATCATGTCTGGATTGAGTAACTAAAGGTAAAATGCATCAGTAGTTTCATGTAAGTGCTGTTTCATAACACTGTTAATTTAGCTTCACAGAGACCTTTACATGCAATTCAACGATTATTTGAAAGCATAAATGGCAGGAGCAGCTAGCCTTAGTGCTTCAGTGCAGCTAAATATCATAATATTTCTGCAGGAATAACCTTGAAATGAAATCTAAATGTTTTTAAAACACTGTTTATGGTATTTTTTTTTTTTTGTATGACATATTTGAGGCTGGACTGGTTTTCAAATGTCATCAATTCACTTTGGGGTTGGCTTTGCTGTAACTAGCAGTTAGCTCATTAATCCATTCAGAAACAATCTGTTTATCTTCAAACTGGTGTTGTTTAAAATACTATTTATATTTATGTTTATGTATTTAGCAGACACTTTTGTCCAAAGCAACTTACAAGTGATAATCGGCATGTTGCCCTTGAGGCTAACAACAACAACAATAACAACAACTTGACATCAGTCATGGAGAGGAGGGAACAAGGAGTGGACAGTAGAGAGGGGGACGGGTGCAGGTAGGGTGCTAGTTTAGAAGATGCTCTCTGAAGAGCAGGGTCTTCAGGAGTTTCTTGAAAATTGAAAAGGAAGCCGCTGTTCTTGTAGTGTTAGGAAGGTCATTCCACATTTGTGGAACGATGCATGTGAAGAGTCTGGATTGTCCTGAGCGTGGTGTAGGCACTGCTAGCCGACGATCCTGTGATGACCGGAGCGGCCGGGCCGAGACGTAAGCCTTTACAAGAGGATTCAGGTAGATGGGAGCCGTACCATCTCGGACTTTGTATGCTAGTGTTAGCAATTTGAATTTAATGTGTGCTGCTAGCGGTAGCCAGTGGAGCTCAATGAACAGAGGGGTGACGTGTGCTCTTTTTGGCTGATTGAAGACCAGACGCGCCGCTGCATTCTGAACCATTTGCAGAGGTCTCACAGTACAGCCTGGAAGACCAGTTAGAAGGGCATAGCAGTAATCGAGGCGGGAGATGACAGTAGATTGCACCAGGAGCTGGGTGGCATGTTGTGTTAGGTATGGTCTGATCTTTTGTATGTTATACAGCACAAAGCGCCATGAACGAGCAACAGAGGCAACATGATCTTTAAAGGTCAGGTGTTCATCAATCATAACACCCAGATTTCGAACTGCCTTTGAAGGAGCCAGAGATAGGAAGTCATTTTGGATTGAGATATCGTGCTGTATGGATAGTTTTGCTGGGATGACAAGTAGTTCAGTTTTAGAGAGGTTGAGTTGGAGATGGTGGGATTTCATCCATCTTGATATGTCAGAGACAGTTTGATAATTGTGTACTATTTGCTACAGGTAAGATACTTAAATCTGTTCATGACTTTCTCCCTTAACTTCCCAGGTTGGAGGTCTGCTCTGCTGCTGTCCCTGCTTTGATTCTCATCTGAGGAGCGCCAAAACTACAAAACCAGTGCAGCCTTACAGGTACCTTAACTTGACTTTTTACCTTCCTGTTCCTTACTTGAGCAGGTTCTGGCTCTACTAAGAGCCGCATAATAGCTCCATTGATTCAGTTGCAAGTTCTGACCTGCCCATCTTGCCAATGTTGTGGACCAACTGCAGGGTGAGCAATGTACTAACCATAATAATACTAATAAAACCTCTTTAAAACTGCCATTAAGCCACATTAAGTGCATTTGTAAGGACGGATGATCTTTTCACACACTGGAAAAGAGGTTCTACATAGTGGTGCCATTCTGCTACTTTGAAAAAGCCAAATAAAGGACAAACTTTACAGAAAAAAGCCATGAATCACGTCTTCTGCTACTTTTTGCTTCCTTTGTGGTTGTTTGGTTTCTGCTGATGTGTCTCAGGCAGAAGAAGATGGAGAAGAACAACAGGTTTCCAGCTAACACAATCAGCATCTCACATCTGTTGTTGATGGCTTTTTCACACATGCAAGTTTCCCAGTTTTTGCTGATATTTGTTCCTCGTGTCGCTGATGGGTGCAATAAACATTTTAAACACCAATCAACACACTGGAGCTGCAGCTAGAAGAATGCTCACAGAGGCCTTGAGGAGTGTAAATAGCTGAAGAACATTACTCATTTGGTTTGGGATGAGATTTTAAAGTTTTTTTTTAATATATAATCAAAAAATATTTTTTGTTACCAAATACACAAAAGAAGAGGCCAAAACTTGGGGAAAATGAATTATCTAATAATGGTACAAATGTCTTTGTCTGAGTGAAACTCTGATAGAAATTAATCGTTTTTTGACTCAAACGCCGACTCAGACAACTAAAGCCGCCACTAAACACCAGAGACAAAGTCAAACTGAAAGTCTCAGAGACATTTCAAGTGTTTTCTAGACAAATCACCCCTGACTAATCACCTACCTATGAGTTAGAAAATATAGTCAATGTTTTCCTACAACTGAGACGCTGCTGAGTCTGCAAGGCCTGAAAATGTACTTAATGATGTGAAATTATAGATCTGTCAAACCAAAGTTATGAACATGTTTTCAGAGCTGCTGTTTAATTCAAACATTATTATTAAATCTCCAACATTTACTGAATCTGAAGATTTATAATTGTGCAAAGGGGTTTTTATGAATCGATACATTCAAAGAAGTTATCCATCCATCCATCCATCCATCCAACCATTTTCATCCGCTTATCCGGAGTTGGGTCGCGGGGGCAGTAGCCCAAGTCGAGAGGCCCAGACTTCCCTTTCCCCAGCCACTTGGGCCAGCTCCTTCGGGGAAATCCCAAGGCGTTCCCTGGCCAGGTGAGAGACGTAGTCCCTGCAACGTGTCCTGGGTGTCTGGAGTCTACCTATAGGTCTCCTCCCGGTTGGACGTGCCCGGAAAACCTCACCAGGGAGGCATCCTGACCAGATGCCCAAGCCACCTCAACTGGCTCCTCTCAAAGAAATTAATTAAACCTTTTTAGTGATTAATTAAAATGATAGTTTGGCTACTCTCAGGTGTGATTCAGGGATAAAGTTGGTGATTTCCACTTACCTCACTTAGAAGAAAAAAAAGTTTGCATTGACAACAGTGACTGATGAGCTAAATGCTAGTCTGAATGCAACCAGGACAAAAATGGCTCCAATCTCAGAGCTAGCAGGCCATGCAAGCATTGCTTTAATTAACCTTTGTATTTCCAGTTTTTCTTCACACATTTATTTACACAACCTGCTTCTTTGGCAGCAGCACTTAGAGCCCCCCCCCCCCGGGCAGTCACATCTGGCAGGACCTCCTTTATATTTCTGTGGAAGTATCCATGTAATTCAAAATTACCACTTTAAAACAGTTTCAATAATAATATTTGCACTAAACATTACAAAATCTTGTAAACTGGAAGATATAAAGATGACAGCAACACACTGAAGGGTTGGCTATGTTTGGACTAGTGGTTAGCAGTTATCTGTAGTTATCCACCGCTGGTCAGGGTTGGATTGAAATAGGATTATTTTTAACTTTTACACAGAGCACACCTGAAAATGACTGAATCAATCATCTAAACTTTTTCTAAAAGGGCATGCGGTTTAGCAGCTGTTTCTAATTAGCCAAACAAAATCAGTCAATCTGCAGGTAAGCACATTTCTAATCTGGTGTGTACATTCTGAACATTTCTGTGTACTGAATTTAGGAAATGGACACAAACCAGAACAATGATCAGTAATACTTTGATAGTGACTGTTTGAGTTAGTAGAAATTCACAGAATCCAACTTTTCACATCACTGGGTGAAAAAAAAAACCACATTAGTGCCTTGCAGCATGGTTGTTGGTATCAGTATATATGAGTATTTCAGAAACTGGATGAAAAAAAAACTTTATTTTCAGCTAGGGATGCTCGATTTTGGCTTTTTTTACAGATATCCAATGATGTCTAACTCTTCATTTCCAATACCAATATAAACCGATACTGAAATATGCAGGGTCCAACGAATGAAAAGACGAAGAAAGAAATAATTTGAGTTGTTCCAAATAAAACTGAAATATCTCAAAAATTAAACCTCAGATCTGTCCCATTTTTGTATTTTGAGAGAGAAGATGATGCTGAAGAGTTTGATTTGTAATATGTGAATGGTATTTAACCCTCCCACTGTCCTAATGGGTGACCCTGCGAGGAAAGTTGACCACTGAGCAGGGGTGATGGTTTATCCCTTGGGTCCGTGTGGCAGAGGTGAGGAGTGAGCACCACCTCACCTCTGCCACACAGACCCAAGGGATAAACCGTCAATCCTGCTCAGTGGTCAACTTTCCTCGCAGGGTCACCCATTAGGACAGTGGGAGGGTTAAAGGTTGGGTTACTAAAGGAGTAAAAAGTTATACCAACATTTTCTAATATTACGTTATAAGGCCAATATTAACCAATAATCTTGATACTGATAATCCCTAATTTCAGCCAATGACTTATTAATCAGAAGAAAGATTTCAGAAGCATCCGAATTCAGAAGAGAACACATTACTGCCTTGGATGCACCATGGGTGTTGGTATCAGTATATATGAGTATTTCAGAAACTGAATGAAACACCCACAACCATCTCTGGGGTTTAGAGAGAATGGTCTGAAAAGTAGAAAATCCAGTTGGCAACAATTTTGTGAATTAAAATGTCTTATTTAAGTCAGAGGAGAATGGTCATAATGGAGGAAGCTCAAATAATCACTTGCTACAACCAGTCTATAGCAAACCATCTATGAACAGAACAAGTGGTGGGTTGATGACGAACCAAAGCAACAGAAATTAAACACCTTTTCCCTCACTGGACCTTTCTAATCTGATCTGATCTTTGAATGTTATCAGATGAAAGCTCAAACCAAAGAAATCTAGTTTATGCACGGCCCATGACCGAGCCTTTTCTCCAACTGTCAGTCAACAAAAACAGACTTGTCAACTCCCGCCAAGTATTTCTCACAGACAGGTGTAGCTTCATTCTCCAGACCCACACCATCAGGAGGTTTGTGTCAGTCAACTGTCCTCTCTCCCTCCTTCCTTTTCACCTTATCTACTCAAACCTTTTTTTACCTTTTATCTGCCTCTTTAACAGCCCTTGGCATTTCACATCTGCTCCGACAAACTCCATAAACACTATCAAAAGCGCTCTGTATCAAAGTCAGTCACCTGCCGTTGGTCTGAATAAACAGCCTGGTAGGACTTTGGGCTGAATGAGTAACGGTGGACTGTAATATTCCAAGGAAAGCGCTTAAACTAAAGGAACTCACCTTTGCTGTATGCATGCACGTGCGTGCCTAATATTAGAGAAATTACTCCTTTAAAGTGAAGCCAACTTGTTTGAGAAGCTTTGAGTGTAAAATGATCACTGAAGAATTTATTGACTTGGTTCAATGAGCACATGTGAATTTCTTTAGATGATACTGAGACTTTGGAATTGACTTACAGGGGCTCTCAACTGTCCCCAATGACAAGGCCACACACTCAGAGGCTACCACACACTAAACACACAGACCGCAATCAACGCAGTGTTTCCCAGGTTAGGAGGGGTCCAGATGGGCTGCGGGGGTGGATGCTCAGATGGACCACATTCTTGAGAAAATGTAAACCTGCCACGGCATTTTTTTCAGAATTGGGTGGTCCACCAGAGTAATGTGGAACAGGCGAGGACGCATAAAAGCACCAACTGTTGGCGTTTCGCAACGAGCAGACATCAAAGGGATTGGGCGCCCGCTGGAAAGTGACCCGTGGTCCAGTCTGGCTCAGTCTGTCGCCCACCGAACATCCGAGCTGCCGAGATCACAGCCCTGATGCAACAGATCTGCTTCGCGTCGTCCCATGAGACATACAGACCCACATCACTGGCACCCCAAAGTTCTGGTCAGGACACCTGCTGGATGGGATGGACAAACACTGAAGCTCCAGTGGAGGCATAATTGTTTGGTTTTGTTCTATGTTTGGTTCCTCGTGTTTAATGTCAGCCCTTTTTCTGTATTTTTACTCAACAGTTCAAGGTTTTCTATTTAATCCTGTTTATTCTCCTTACTGAACTTTACTTATCAGCTACAGTCCACGTCACGACAATTTATCCCTGCTAACTAAATTTAAAGGTAGTTTTCACTTAACTATGTTTGTGTCGCTTAGGCTAGATGATTATGCAGATTTCTGACCTGATATCCCCTTCCAACAATCTTAATGACACCCTGACTACCTTAATGACTCTAAAGATAATCTTATCAGATTTTCCTGCCGTGTGTGGTACGTTAAGAGCATTTTGATCTGTTCAGAAGCACTTTGGAACCAATCAGACCATGAATCGGGGATATTTAACATGTTGGTTTGTTTTGTCTCGATCTGATGACAAACAGGCCCGCTGAATGTGATGTGTAGCCAAATGTGAATGTGAGGTGATGGAAGCACAAAGTCACTTATGATCTCAAGCATTTTAGAGATTTTCTACGTAATCTGCGAATGCCCATGAGTAAGATTGCTTTGCGTGTCTAGTTTGTGTTGTATTCATGTTTGTTTTTATCACCAAATGTGGGATCTGAAATGTTTTGAAAAGTGTCCAAAAGCCTTTAAATCCTGCTGTGTGAGCCAGGCCTAAGTCAGAAGTTTACCACCCGAAGCTTGTAGCTGCATATAAGAGAGACACATGTCTTGCCCAGATATACCAGCCTATCTTGAATTTTGTTTTAGTTTTTTTTTCCAATACATTTTTAACAATAAGACTACTGGAAGCTGTTTTGTTCACCAAAAATTGTATTTTTTCCGTAGGTGTGTAGTTTCCCTGGCAATACCTAAATCATTGTAGGCAAGCGGTATTTTTGTGTTCGATGAAGACCTTGGACCATGTGATATTTCAATATTTCTTTTACAATAACTCAGCAGACATTTCTAAAATTATGTATTTTTCTGTAAACATGGGGTGCTATGTGTACGTTAATGAGGGGGGAAATTAATTTAATTGATTTTAGCAAATGGCTGAAATATAACAAAAGAGTGAAAAACTGACAAGGGTCTGAATACTTTCCGTACCCACTGTACTTGTCTGTGAGGAAGATTGTCAATTCTACATCAAGGTACACCATCAAACTCATTCTGTGGTTGACATCTGTATGTAAGCGGATGTCTATTGCTATTGGTTAATGATAGATATACATACATATATATATATATATATATATATATATATATATATATATACACACAGGGTACTTTTGTACTTTTGAGGGAAGACACCAGATTGTAGCTTTAACTTAGCTGGAGGATCAAACTCATCAGTAGTTTAGTCATGCAAAAGTTTGCAGCTAAGACTCAAAATGCTGGCAAGACCATAAACGCAGAATGTAGAGAAATTCTATCCAAAACTTTGGAAAAAGTAATTAAAATGTTCATTTTCTGAAGAAAATTAAATACAATTAGAGCTCTGTAATTTAGGATTGGAAAAAAGCTCCCCACAAGCAGTCGTCATGTTTCACTGGAAGTTTGTTTCCCCCACAAGTTCCTTTGGAAGCAAATAACACAAAAGCAGAATTCCCCACAATCATGGTGACCATTTATTGTCCTGCTAGTTTGACAGTCATTGTCTAGACCCGGTAATCTTGGCTTCATGTGAATCTGACCAAGTTGTTTTCTGAGTAAAACAGAATGAGGTCAGTGATGAACTCACATAGAATGAGCCAGAGCTGCTTACTCATCCAGCCTTTGGAAACAGCCATTCACAGAACTCACTGCTGTAGCATGTCAAAATCCTCAAACCTGCAGTTCCAGTTTGCACAACCTACTTTCCATCTCTGCCATCTAAAACAGTTAGTGTGTGTGTGTGTGTGCGTGCGTGCATGCGTGCGTGTGTGTGTGTGTGTGTGTGTGTGTGTGTGTGTGTGTGTGTGTGTACGTGTCTTTCAGTTTGTGTGATTGACAAGTCAGAACAGCCAAAGCAAACATTAAAGGATCCCTGCGAGTGCTAATGAAAGGTTGAAGGGTGTGTGTTAGTGTGTTTACAGATGAAATCAATCACTGAGTTGAAGCGCGATGACTCAGAGAGGTCAAAGGCAGCCAAGGAGAAACAAAAGCAGAGCCCTCAGGTAGAGTTCCCACTGTTACATCACAATGGCTGCAAGCTCGCTGTACTGTCTGGCCACCGGCTCTCTGCCAATCAGAGAGCTGCATGATGGGAAGGGCTTGTCGAAATGATGGATGAGGATTAAAGACTATTAGGAGCTGGCATCAATTTAGGAAAAAAAACTGAGCAGAAACCTCAGACAAAAGGTCAGATCATACCTCAGTTATTTTAGTCTGCCATGAGCTCAGGGCTTTAGAGCCGACTCATGGTTATCCTCTGCAGTATGAGAGCGGGGAAGAGAAAACAAACTGTGTTTGGTGGTAATATACCTCAGGTCTTAAATGATTTACCAGCAGTGGCAGCAGAAAGGAGCGTCCTTGTGTTTTATTGTGTTTAAAATGTCACAGTAAAACCAGCCATGGTAAAAGGAGTGACGCTGTAAAGTTGTGCTGGAAAGTTTGACTGAGCAACTTTATCTAAACACAGCGAGTGTTCAGATTACTAACCCATCTGACTTGTGTTAACTCGGTTACTGAACAGTTAGACACGGTAAGAGGGTTAGAGCTCTGGATGTGTGATTGACTGACATTTTAGCTCCATATCTGTAAAATGGACTTGTGTTTAGTCCATTTTTGGGTTCACAAAAGTTGGCTTGCAGTGGTGGCCATCTTGAATTGGGTGACTCCAAAAATTAGTCAGATGCAAATGAACATCTAAGGAGAAGTTTCTCCACTTGGAGATAATTAAGGGTGGGTTGTTGAAAGGCAAACAAGAGTTGGAAAACTATTTCAAATCTGCAAAAAAAAAGTGGAATTTTTATCATTGTTTTTGTTCCTTATTTGAAGTCTTTTCTTTTTTAATGTGTAGTTTTGCCAAATATGTTTTTAAGAGACTGACAGAATGATTGAAGAGCTACTGTATTTTCTGGAGGTATTTAACTGTCAAAGAACAAGTGGTTGTGCTTTTAACCCTTTGATGCATGAATTATGAAATCTTCAACCATGATTTTTTAAACATTTTTTTTCATTTGTCTTTAGGTGTGAATGAAACAAATTTCAACAAATATTTTTTGTAAAATTTTATAATTTACAAATTATTTATTACATGTCCACCACAGTGGACAGCGTGCATTCTGAGCATGAAATATGTTGGCTTGGCTTCCTGAAGTCCAAATGGAGGGGCCCAAATGCAATAAAGTCTTCAACAGCTGTGCTTAATAGCAAAAACAAATAAACAACAATTTTGAGTACCAGTCCACTGTAGTGACCGTTATGCATCAAAGGGTTAATGCATCTTTTCAATGCAAATAGGTTTCTCTTAGCCGTGATGTGATTTTTTTACATGTATTTGTTTAGATTTTGACTATTTTACAGTAAACGTCTAATCTGAGGGACATATGGCATCTGATACATCAGTATGGTCCAGTTGAAAGCTTTTCCAACACCACCCAAGCCTTGACCTCAGTCCATTTGTCATAATTACAGCTGACATTGGAAACTTCACCTGTCTTGCTGAAAATGGCTTCAATCGTGAAACTTGTGCAGCAGTCACCTGCGAGCAATCACTCATCCACCTTCTCCTGTTCCTTAAAACACACACTCCAGGTACAGTACCCACATCCTGGTCTACAGAGGGGCCATTCTACTGCCAGATGCTGGCGTGCAAGGCTGCTGCGGGCTCTTATTTTCATAACGACAAGTGAGATTTGTAGAAAGGCGGAGAGTTGTTGTGGAGAGTAGACATGATGTAAAATAACTTAACTGCTTCATAAAATGCAGCGAGGGGGAGGGAGGGAGACTGGATGAGGGGGAGAGGAAGGAGAAGCTCCCAGGAGGGGAACATGTGAGCTGAGGACCGCAGTCGGACAACACAAACCAAGTTTAGCTCTGTGCCAATATCAACATCAGCAAACCCAGCAGATGCTGTTTTGTTGTTGCTGCCAAATTATGCTTTTTTTCATCTAATTCTTTTGCTACTCAACCCTTTTGGTGGTGGTGGAAGTAGGTGGGTGGGGGTGAACACGGCTTCTCGTGCATATTTTCCTCTCTACTTCAACTTTTACTTTTAATTTACAAGCATTTCATTGTGTCTTCTAAGGAAAGCTTGATAACTGAAACATCATGAACACCCAGATGCTGCGGTCTTGATCAGCTGTTCTTCAGCTATCAGAAGCTGTTTTAACCCATTTCCTTTATCTTCTGCTACTTTTTGACTCGTCTTTTGTCCGGGTACCAAGCATCTAATCAATCTGTCTGGATCAGTATCTTCCATGACAAACCTGATAGGTTTCCCGCTCATGCACTCACCGTAATGATGCTTAATTTGTCACTCTGTTTTAGCTCTAACATCTTAAGAATTTTACAGTGAAAAAAATCACAAAACAGTCTAAAGTATCAATCCTGTTGGAAGTAAGGTTACATTGAAACCGATTTCCTTCTCATCTGGCTGGGGGGTTGTTAGTTTTTCTCCTGTCAAAGTGGCCAAAGAGGGACATATTCACTGTTTTACAATCTGTAGACCCAAACTGCGCTAGCTAACGCTGCTGCGTCTGCATTTGTAACTCAACACCAGCCAGCAGAAAGCCTCAGAGTTGTGGACAGTATGTTAGCCAGTAATCCGGAAGGGCCGAGAAGTTATTTGTTGTTATTTTAAGGAGCCACTGTGTCTTTTTGTTTTACTCTAATCTCAAGTGAAACGGGCTAGAGGCTAACATTGCGCTAACAAGGCTAAGGGTAAATTAGAAGCAAATACTAATCCCTTAAAAAGATCAGTTTATTGATTTACTTATGAAATTACTGCATGTGACTTGTCTTCCATGAAACTCATGGAACAATAGTCATTCTTTGTTTGGAAACATTGACTGCAGTAACTAACCACAGGATGACATTCTTACTTAGTTCTTACATCATGCACCTTTACATTTACAGTTTTATTGCTACCAGAGGTGTGGGCTCGAGTCACATGGCTTGGACTTGAGTCAGACTCAAGTCATTATTTTAATGATTCTGACTTGACTTGATAAAATCTATAAAGACTTACGAGTTGACTCGGACTTGAACGGCAATGACTTGCAACTTGAATCGACTTATATCTGTTGACTTGATGACTTGAGCATATTTGATATTTTAGCACAAAAGTGGCACGACATGGACAAAAATCATAAATCATTCTTCGTTCTGGGTTTGATCTTGTACGGCTAAATGCAGCAGCCCTTTTTTATAATCAGTTTCAGTTGCACTTTCTGCTTGTTTGAGCAAATAAATGAAGCTTTAAGAAGCTTTATTTCTGGAGTTTGTTTATTAACATAGTCATTAAATTGAAGTTTGACAGATGACTTGATTGTGACTTGAAAATTCAAGGTTATGGACTTGGACTTCCACATCATTGACTTTGGACTCGACTTGGACTTGGTTGTCTTTGACTTGGGCTTGACTGGAAAGACTTGTGACTTACTTGTGACTTGCAATGCAGTGACTTGGTCACACCTTTGATTGCTACCTATTCAGATCATTATTTTTCTAATTTGTTTTGTTAAACACCGTTTCGTCTTCTCATCCATTGTTTCGTTGGCTGTCCTTAACCACATGACAAAAAAAACTATGTTCTGTCCACCAAATGGTTATCTTTGTTTTGTCACTAGTGAGTAAACTACAGAAATAAGGAAAAAACTTTCTTTAGAACAAATTGCTGGTCACAAATGGTCCTAAAAATCCATTTTCTTCTCTATGTCTGTTATGTCAAAACACATAACTTCATTAGAAAATGTTTTAAGTCAGAACGGTTTATAGGGAAGTGTCCAAGAGCTAAATATTAATGAAAATAGCTGTAGTGGTAAAAGCATCTAAAGTCGTTTGAAATGTTTCTGGGACAACTTCAGAAAACTGAAGAAATGTTGCTCAAGACGGCAAAAATATTTGGTTTACTGTAACTATAGAGACACAAAGGATGACTTCTGCAAAGTGTCTTATTGATTTCATCAACAGTTACTGATGATCACAAGTCATTTTTCAAAGGCCAAGTTCAGGTCAACCCTCAAGATGTTGTGGACCAT